GGTCATTGATCTCATCAGAACTCTTCATCAGTAGTTCTGCATGTAAGGAAGACTTTCTCTTTCTGGGAGATTTTATCTCAATCTTTTGTTCTCTATTTAGCAGTTTTTCAGGACTTCTATACCTTTCTGTGAAGAGCTGCATCAGGGGCTGGACAAATAGATATGCTGGGAGTTGGTATTTATTTTATTTTATTCTATTCAACTTACTCCATTTTGAGTTTGTCTTATGGACAAGAAGGGCTTCCCAGGTGGCACTAGTGGTAAAGAACCCAGCTCCGATGCAGGAGACACAGGAGACACGGGGACCATCCCTGGGCCGGGAAGACCCCCTGGAGGAGGGCATGGCAACCACTCCAGGATTCTGGCCTGGAGAATCTCATGGACAGAGAAGCCTGGCGGGCTGCAGTCGATAGGGTCTCACTGAGTCGGACATGACTGAAGGGACAGCATGCACGCGCCTATATAGAAGGGAAGGGAGTTTGTGCGGGTCAGTTATCTGTATAGTTTTGGAGGATGGCTACAGAGAGTTGCGTTCAGACAATTGTGAATCTTCCCGGAAGTCCTCTATCATCCCTGAGGTGAGGCAACTAAAACCTGGTGAGTTCAGATGATTACCACAACCCACTTTAAAGGTCACATGTAAAGCACTGTACCCCACTCCAGGGGTCTTGCCTGGAGAATCCCAGGGACGGGGGAGCCTGGTGGGCTGCCGTCTATGGGGTCGCACAGAGTCGGACACGACTGAAGCGACTCAGCAGCAAACCGCTATCCATACTGCTTCTGAGATTGCAAATGCAGTTTAATTTGCAGCGCATCCAACCAGCACATGTTACAGAAATTACTTCAAGAAGCAAAACTGACGTGGTAGCAGAATAGCAGATCAAAGCGGTCAAGCTACTTAGGAGACGACTTTAAAATGAGATGGCCCAAGCCTCAAGAGAGAATAAGTGAGCAGGCTCAGAATGGACAGGGAAACTGTGAAAACAGACAATGTGAAGTGGACCGAAGTGCACAGTGAGAGAAACCCAACCTCAGGAACAATGAAGACGTAGAAAAGCTGGTGGGCTGAAGAATGCGTCTTGTGTTTTCAGAGGAGAAATCAGCATAAGCATTAGTTTAAGTCCAGGATAAATACAATTAGGAAAATAAAGTACTTTCTTGAAAGCTTTGAAGGCAAATAAAATTAATGGGATGTAACCCATATTTTGAACACCCCTCACCACTGTCCTCCTTTAAAAGTTAATGTTTGCTATTGGTTTGGGTACCTGTGCCCCCGATATAAAGATGGTAAGGGGTGTTTTCAAAGAGTGCTCTCGTTCAGCTGCTCCGTTCTGTCCGACTCTGTCGTGACCCTGTGGACCGTGGACCTCCAGGCTCCTCTGCCCACAGGACTTTCCAGGCACCAACACTGGAGTGGGTTGTCACTTCCTCCTCCAGGAGTCTCCCCAACGCAAGGATCGAACCCGTGTCTCCTGTATCTCCTGGATTGTCAGGCAGATTCTTCGCCACTGAGCCACCTGGCGTCACTTTCAAACATGGAAAGCGAGGGACAGAAAAATGAAGCTGGAGAGAACACAGATAATCATCACTTGAAGGCTCGAAAGAAAGTGGATCTGTGAACATGCTGAAAGATAAATGCCTTTGGAAGAACTAAACATTAATGATACGTTGTGTTTCTATGCTTCAAGTTGATTCTGAGAAAGAGCAGGTCCAATCTGCAGATTCAGGAGATACTTAATATGAAATAAGCGAGAGGTCAGCAAGTTTCTCAAGAAATCTTGTTCTTCTCAAAACCACATCTACCTAATGGCATCTTCGTATGTTTCTGGCAAGTAGGTCTAAGATTTTGCTGCTATGATTATTGTTTGTTACTTTCATAGTCTTCTTGGGAGAAATGTGACCTGGTTGGGCAGGCAAACAGCCAAGATTCTACAAGCTTTCTGCTGCCTTGTGCTTGGGTGCTTTATTTTGTGTTAAAAATGTTTCTGTTGTGCATATTTCTAAAATCAGTGAGTGCCTCATTCATAAAGAAGACTGATTCCATTTCTTGGTGGATAACTCTTAATTCAAGAGAACATCAGGAGCATTTAATGTTATATTTTTACTCCAAGGAAGGCACCAGATTTTACTAAGAGATACACAGAAAATGTATTGAAATTTAGGGACAGCATTTCCTTGCCATTTATGGTAAAATAAGCTGTTACAGCATATGGTCATCTGCTTCGTTTGATATTGTTGACTGCTCTCTCCATCTTGAAATTCTCCTTACTTTCATATTCTGATCAGTTTTCTCTCTCCTTTCCCCCCTCTGGGATAAAATGGTGAATATATTTTTATTTTATATTTTACACTGTTTTGATAAATACACTTAATGTGTTGTTGCCATTTTAACCATTTTAGGTATATGCACAGTTCAGTGGTCCTAAGTGCGTGCATAATGTTATGTAACCATCATTACCCTTCCTCTGCAGAACCGGTTTCATCTTGTAAGACTCACACACTTTCAACAATAACTGTTAAACAACAGCTTCCCAGTTTCCCTCCTTCCAACCCTTGGCAACCACCATTTACTTCCTGTAACTGTGATTTTGGTTCCACTAGATACCTCATGTAGATGGAGTTGTACTGTATTTGTGTCTAGGTGACTGATGTTTCACTTAGCATAATGCTCTCAAGGTTTATTTATTTTGTAGCATAAGTCAGAATTTCCTTCTTTTTTAAAGCCAAATGATATTCCGTTGTATGCATGTACTACATGCTAATCCATCTGTCCGTGAATATCCAGGTTGTTTTGACATTTTAGCCACTAAGGGTATGCTGCTAGAACATTGTTGGACAAATATCTCTTTAGAACTTTGCTTTCAGTTCTGTAAACCCACCCAGGAGTGGACTTGCTAAATCATGTTGTAATTTCACTTTTAAGATTTTGAATAACTGCCATATTGTTTTCCATGTGACTATACCACTTTCCTTTCCCACCAACAGTGTGTAAGTCTTTTAATTTCTCCACATCCTCAACAAAACTTGCTATTTTCTGTTTTTGGATAGTAGCCAACCTACTGTGTGTGAAATGGTGTCTCATTGTGTTTTTATTTGCCTTTCCCTAATGATGAGTGATACGGAGGAACTTTTCATGTGCTCTTTCGCCACTCACGCACCTTCTTTGGAGAAATGTTTATTCATGTCCCTTGCCCATGTTTGAATGCAGGTGTTTGTTGTTGAGTTGTATGAATTCACTATATATTCTAGATATTCCTTTATTTTTTCTTTTGTGAACATTTCTTTCTACCTCCATTCTTTAAACGAGCATTTCTCTAAGTGTGGTCTGCAAACTATGTAATCAAAATCACTTGGGATATGTGTTTGGGATACATCATGCCTGAATCTGCCACTTAACCTATTGAATCAGTCACTAAAGTAGGGATCCTGGATGATGCATTTTAACAAACCATCTGAGTAGAACTTCACAAATATTAATATTTGAGAACATTTTCTACATGTCAGCCCTTTCTAGGGTTTCTTTTCCAGTTCACTGTTCTCAATCTCATGGTTTAAGCACCACTTACTGATATGCTGACAACTTTCAAAGATATTATTTTCAGTCTTGATCATTTATTTCCATATAACCAATAGACCCAGACACCTCAAAGCCAACACATGTGAAAGTGAACTTATTATGTTTCCCCATAAACCTGCTCCATCTATAGTCTCCACTTGTACTACCATCATCTATCATCTAGTCACTGAAGTTGAAAACTTGAAAGGTAGAAAATTGGAAACCATCTTTATTTCCCCATCTTCTTTCTTCCCTTCTCCAACCAATCAACCAATGCATTCAACAGATTTTACCTTCAAGTATTTCTCAAACTTCTTCCTGCCTATCTGACACAAATATCATTGATACAATTAAGTTGTTCATCATGTCTCATCTGCTCTTCTTTTTAAGCCATCTCCCTTACAGACTTTAGTTTGGCTTATCTAAATGCAACATGGATCAGTTCTCAATAGTGAACAATGGGCACTTTCAAAATAAGATTACTTCAAGAAAACTTTATTCACCAAGAGACGATGTCCACAGGTTTGGGTGTAGGACAACAGATGGTGTTAATAGTCTGGCCAAACTGTTACCACTTCTGCGTCTCATGGAGTTCAGTGAGGGAGTGCCTACTAGAATACAGAAAAATAAAGTGAGTAGAGCTGGCTGATTTGAAAGAAAGCAGAGGTCTTTGTTTAATCAAGGGACATTCCAGACCAAAGTTTGTTCAGATCATAACGTATAATACTGTGTCCTCATTCCCCCTTCCCTCTAATCTTTGACTGGGGCCCCTGTTGGCCAAACCCAACTAGAAATCACAGGGTATGGGGACACTTCAATGCAATCTTTACCAGTTAATTTCCAGGGAAGAGCACAGAACTGAGACAGGTGGGAGGGCAGTGGAACAATCCAGCACATCGATATTACTATGTAGCTCCATTGCTTATAAATATTTGGATTCCATCTCCTTTGAGCCAAATTTCTGTTCTTGATGATGAAACATGAAATACCTTTATTGCACATTGCCTTCTTTTATGGCAGTCTATGCTTTGCTTATCATGTTAGGCATGCAAATTGCTTATGATTCCATAAGCTCCTAGTATTATTCACCTCCATGTTTTTGTTGGGGCTCTTCCTAAGTGTTCTGTTCCTCCTTCCAACTTGTCCCCCCAAATAGTTCAGTTACATCCTTGATTAACATCCCTCTTCTTTTTTTTTTGTTCTTCTTTTAACAAACATCCTGGCTTGGCTTAGTTACTGGTTCTCAGGACTCTCTGAATCTCTCTATCATTGCTCTCACTTCATTGTTTCATTATTATCTGTTTATGTTCAACACCCCAAACAAACTCTGAATTCCTGAGATAAAGAAGCAACATTTTATGTATGTTTACAGTCCCAGGGCTAAGCCCAGTGCCTATTTGTTGACAGAAAAAAAGAATTAGTAATTTCTCCCTGTCTCTTCTTTCTTGCTATGCATGTGCTAACAGTCAAAGGAATCACTTTCATATTTCGAACAAATGGTGTGCATCTAAGTACCTCTCAATGGGGCTGCAGCTAGCATTAATATTGAAGTGGTAAGTAATGGTTAATTTTGTTTCCTCTGTAATGGAAATTGATGGAAGGAAGGTTCACTCTAGATAATTAGATTGATTTTAGTTTTTACCATTTTAATAGCCAGAGAGTTCTTTAAAGTGATTGTTGTAATTACAGAAAGACAAACTGATACAGACAGTCATTGCTTATTTTTCTCTATCCAATCCAGCCTCACTGTGCCGCTTAAAAGACTATGCAAATTCTTCCCTTCTTCAGTCTCTGCATACTTTCCTTAGAAGAGTTGTATTTTCACTTTACATTAACATCTTATCAGTGTAGACTGAAACATGGAAGACTGAGGCCATAATTAAGCATATACAGATCCATCAATGTATAAAGTGATGTATATACCATCACACGGTATATACCTTGACTGAAATATGACATATCAGGAAATGTAGGGCAAACTTCTAGCCTGCATTCCTGAAAGTTACAGTAAGTTACATCTGTAAAAAGGTAGGCTGTTATTAGAGGGAAGACAGCTTTTCATAAACCCTGCTTTTTGCTAGGGAGAACTTTTTCCTAAGCAGGCTCTCATTCCTGCGGATGGCTGTCTTTCTTTCTCAACTCTCTGCCCCTGGGGAGCAGGTGTTGTGCCAGTTGTTATTTAGTTGCAGTTAATTTGAAGCGTATAACTGTACATGTCTCAGAACGGTTTCAGAATATAGGAAGATATTTGTCAGCCATTTGTGATGCTTAGGATGGGGAGAGCTGTAATGCTTTCAGTCAGATAAAGTGCCCAGGAAATAAATGCTGGCATCAACACCACAACCAATTATTTTTTATGATGACAGTGTTCTAGGTGCTATTTAAAATTTTTAGTTTGAACAGAAGACTCTTATTCACCTGTCTTTTTCCTTTGCGATGATGCAAAGCAATAAAAATATGGTTTATGAAGGAACCCATCTCTCATTTATATTAGGCAACAAAGCAAATAGGAGAAGAAAAACAGGAAGTTCACTTAGAAAATAATAAAATTACTTCTGAGAATAGAAATGAGAATAAGAAATCACAGTGTCAGGCATTGTGATATCCTTGAAGATAGGATTTGTATTCTTTGTTGTTCCTGGCACAGTGCTTTGCATATTGTTAATGCTTAGTAAATTTGTGTTGAATTGAACTTAATTAATTCAAAGTATGTATTTCTGTGGTTCAAACATTATTCATGAGAAAGTCTCAGGAAGGAACATATTGATTTAGGTATCATAGTGTACATTGATATATATGTAAATATATTTCCAAAATCATATGGTACCTCATTAAAGCTAATTCTGCTTGGGTTTTCATGAATCAAAAAGGAAAGAAAATTACCACATTTGCCACACAAAAGCTACACATATTATTGTTCATCAAAGGTTTAGTAGTTTGATTCACCAGTGGAAGAGACTGGACGCAGTGCATTGCCTTTTTCTTTGCTCACATCCTATATAAATTTGTTCACATGGTTTTGTCATAATTAGGGGATAAAACATGTAAGGCAAAATTTAGAAATAACATTAGCTTTTGAGATGACAAAGTATGATTGTTAAGAGATGGGGTTTAAGATATCCAACAAACAACTCTCTTAACCCCTTAAGTTCTGAATCAAATGAAAATTAGATTAAAAATTATGGGAGATGGGAAGAAAAAAAAATAAAAATTATGGGAGACAGACATTGGAGGTAAAATTACATAATTGGTTTCTACCATGATTCTGCCACTTACTAGCTATGTGATCTGGGGACAAGTTATTTTGCCTCTTCTGCCTTAATTTTCTTATCTGAATATGGGCATCGTAACTCCATCTCTATTAAGATTTTATAAAGACTGAATGAGATCATGTATATAAAATTCTTTGTGTGCTCCATGACAGACAAGTATTCAGTAATTGTAGCTATTGTTATTAATAAATGATGGAGAATTAACTTCTAAAAGAGCAAAATTTAAATGGATTGTTGAAAGCATTCCAATAACAAAAAGTGAAAATATAACCTAAGTTGAAAGTTGGCTATTTTGACATTTCTAAAGAGCTTGAACAGTAAAAATGGACTTCCCTGGAAGTGCAGTGGCTGGGACTCAATGTTCCCAAGCAAGGGGCCCAGGTTCAATCTCTCGTCAGGGAATTAGATACCACATGCCACAACTGAAAGTTTGCAGGCAGCAATTAAAATCCCCACGTTTCACAAAGTAGATCAAAGATCCTGTGTGCCCGAATAAAGACTTGCTGCAGCCGAATAAATAAATATATTTTTAGGCAGACTATGTTGCAAAAGAGAGCACCTGCTCTTCTCAGGTCGGTGAACAAGTGAGGAAGAGTAAAGGAATGGGAAGTTGGGCATCCATCCCTTGATGCATGGGAATCAATTCACCTTTCAGGGAATTTACTCCTCCTTCCTGGAAGACAAATGAGTGAGGACACAGAGAAAATCCAGTAAGTTATGTTCATGGAGTTCCCTCTATGTAGAAGGAAGTATTGGGAATAGGAATTTAAGTCCCCACCCTCCAACAATGAGAGCCATCATATTTTATTGTTATTATTTGATGAGTTTCCTATTAGAATATGAGTTTTGTTAAGGGAAGATATGAGTTTGATTGGTTGACTAGAATGAATGACATGTAAGGTGCTCAATTGATCTCAAGGAATGACTGAATGAATAAATAAATGCATTCACTTGGCTGTTATAATTCTGCTGTGTATTGGATACACCAGGCTGTTCCAAGCCACATCATTAAAAATTTCAATAATATTATTTTATTATTGTGCTTCTATTTGTGCAAGAAACTATTGTAAACATTTTACATGTATTAACTCACTCAGATCCTACAACAATCTTAGATGTAAGTATTATCATGATGGCCATTTTTCAGATGTGTAACTTAAAAAAGTGGTTACTTTTCCAAAATCACATGCTAGTAATTATGGCACTAATTATTCTAATTCAAATGAAATGAAATGTTAGTCGCTCAGTCATGTCCAGCTCGTTGCAACCCCATGATCTGAATCACGCCAGGCTCCTCTTTTCACGGAATTCTCCAGGCAGGAATACTGGAGTGGGTTGCCATGACCTTCTCCCGGGGATCTTTTTGCCCCGGGGTTTGACCTGGGTTTTCTTGCTTTGCGGCGGTTTCCCCCCCTTCCAACCAGAAGGGAAGCCCTTTTGATTTAGTGTTCACCACAAACCTGGTTACAGTTTGATTTACTTATCCTATAGAGAAAGAACGAGTGGGTCATAGGACAGGATATCTATTCACTTTGTTTTGTTTGGTTTGGTTCCTTAGTATTTTTAAAATTTTTACTTTATAATGGAGTATAGTTGCTTAACAATGTGTTAGTTGGGTATATAACAAAGTGAATCATGATACATATACATGGATCTATTTTTTCAATTCTTTTCCCATTTAGGTTATTACAGAATATTAAGCAGAGTTTCCCGTACTATCTGGTATATCCTTATTGGTCATCTACTTGTTTTTAATACTAAATGAACATACTGCCATCACTCTGCAGAGAACTTCCTTGGTGGAAATTTGTCCCCAAGACTCAATAAACTTTTTTATGATTTCTTAGGACCAAATTTCTGAGCCAGTTAAATAAGAAATTTATTGTGTCTATTTTACCAAGTTGAGCCTAATCCGTGGGGCTTCTAGATGTCCAACTGGCTGATTTTCTCTGATGACATAGCTATTTCTTTCTAAGTCCTTAGGAAACATCAGATTCACTAAATATTTTAACTTCTATGTCTACACAACCCTTTTGTCTCTACTAGATCACTACATTTGTTATAAGCAGGGGCAGGATTTCATTCATCTCTGTATCATCAGTCCCTGAAGTTGAACTCAGGACAGATAAGTTGATAAACTTCTGCTTGAGTATATTAGGCATCCACATTCACTACTCTGAAGTGAGTGTTTGGAGTTTGGAGTCTTCTGAGTTGGAACAGAGTTTATTTGGGGGAAAATAGAATATTGGTTTGACAGGATATATATGTACCTTTGACTCCTTAATCTAATAAGTGGATCAATTGCTACATACATAATTTAAAAGACATATTTGATCTGACAGTTCATTAATCAAATAACTGATTTAAGTATTCATATGTGCTGAAAGTTTGCTGTAGAAGGACTGAAAATGTTTGTAGTTTGGATATATAAGTGGAAAAATAACTTACAGTTCATAGCCACAGGCTAAGAGTTGGGAAAGGCCATAAACGCAGTGTGATCACTTGGTTAAAATATGTGACAAAAGTTCTCCAGAAGAGTTAGACTTTAGTTGTCTCAAACAATTCATGGAATTGGGTAGGTTAAAGGGTTCCAAGATAGTTAGAAAACAGGAAGAAGAGCAAAAAGTCAGGAATGAGGGTGGTGTACACGGAAGGCTCATTTCAAAATAAAGGGTCATGTACATGTCAGATTGTGCCAAGTGCACTCATAGCTTATGGTATTATTATCATTATTATCATATCCACTTACATGATTTCCTGCTATTCACACCATATGGAGGGAAAATACCCTTTGACTTATTATTTTTATACTATTTAGTAGTATGAAGCATTCTATAAACTGAAGTTACTTTTTTTTGGACATATGGGTGGAAACTGTAGCATAAATAGAACATACAAGGATACAGAAGGCAGTTCTAGATATGAATTTTCACCTGGATGCCTACTATGTAACCTTGGCTAAGCTAAGTAACCTCTCTGAGCTTCGGCTTCCGCATCTTTTAAATAAGGAAAAATTATGGTAGCTGTGCCTAGAGTTATAAGGATTAAATGAAATAAAGGTTATCAAAAGTCTACTTTACACCGGCTGTCACATTGTTGCTACTTGATGACTAGTGGTTACTATTTACAATTATATTATTTAATAACTAGTAAGGCTTTGCATTCTGCTGTTCGGCATGTAAACTGGAGAGGGGAGTGCTAATTCACACTGCTTGACCTCTGCACTACCCCTGGTCGGTTCCCATTCTTGGGCTATTGAAGATGCTTGGTCTTTCTTCATA